CGGGCTGTTGCTGGGTCAGTTCGGGCTACTCCTACACCAGTATCAGTAGGGAACTTGATGCAGGAGTGTCGAACAGAAGCTATCGCTTCCAAATCTTCCAATCTCGGTCGGCCCAATATGGCATTGCGGGCACAATTAATGTCCACCACTACGAACGTCATACGGACAGCTGCACGGTGTGATTCATCCCCAATCTCGACCAGGAGCTGGATGGTTCCTTCAACCTCGATACAGTTCCCGGTGAAGCTGGCAAACGGTGTCTTCAAGTTTGTCAGTTGACTCCTATGGAGTCTCATTTTCTCGAATGTGTGTAGGTACAACACGTTTACGCTACTCCTTGTATCCACCAGAACTCCGCGGATAAGGGCATTATCAATGCACATACTAATCACCAATTCGTCCCTGTGCGGACTTGGTGAGTTGGGTAAATCTGCTACCCCGAACGTGATTGGCTCCATTCTTCCTTTTTTCTGGGGCGAGGTAGATATGGAGGCTACGTACAAACCCCGCTCGAACCTTTTCCGTTCGGCAGCCGTATCTCCAGTCTCTCCTCCACCAAATATCACTTCCACCTCCATCCTTGGTTTCTTTAATTTCCCGGGTTTCCGGACCCTTCAGCCTCCTCTCTGGGCGGGATGTATGCGTCATTCCTGGGTTTCGCATCCTGTCGACTGTCCCTTCTCCAACTATTTGGTTTCTTAACTAGGGGCGTGTTAGGGGAAGGGTTGTTCGAGTTGGTATTGACATATTTCCTCAAGTAACCTTGCTGAAGTAACTCCTCGATCGCAATCTGCAAAGCCCGGCAGTTCTTAGTTAGGTTCCTGTTCCGCTTATGATATTTGTAGAAGGCGTTCGGATCTGGCCCCATGAAAGCTTATGTATCGGTCGGGGGGGGGGGGGGGGATAGTACCCTTCTCCTTATGAAATACGTTAGCGATCGTCATAACTAGCGGGGTAAAACGCTTGTTCCTTGGATGGGGTGGTGCAGTTGCTGGCATGGGACCTAACCGGTCAGCCAACCTTGTAGGGGCAGGTTGCTGGGCCGTTCGGTCTCGTATCTTGATTTCCTCTTCCAGGGCAGCATGTGTAACACTTGAGATTTAATATAAACGGATTGATAGTACTACTCATACCAACAGAGGTGCATCTCGTTTTAAGGGAGCTCATTACCTAAGAACTCCAAAGTTAAGCGTGCTTGCTCGGGAGTAGTCTTGGGATGGGTGACCCCCTGGGAAGTTTCTCAGGGTGTGCATGAGTGAAGACAAAGTGTGCGGTAAAGGCTCGTGGTGGTTTGTGGGGACAGTACTAGAGGTCCGGAGTAACTACCTCGGGTCTACGGGGCCGGGGTGTTACAACATGCTTCCCGTCCCTCTCCAGCACATCGGCATAGCCCGTACCAGGGTTCTTCTTTAAATCTCTGTACAGTTCCCCGGTCTGGAGGGCATTAGTGAATAGGAGGATTGATGTCTCATCCGTCATGCCCGTCACCTTCAGCCTTCAGGGTCTCACTTCTCCACCTGGTCAGAAAATCATTGATGGATTCCCTTGGTCCCTTCCTCACACTGATCAGGTAACCAAAATGTAACTTGGGGGTAGTGCTGGAGGCGAACTGAGCCAAGAATAATGTGGACAGTTCAGCAAACCTCCCGATTGATCCCGGATGCAAGGTGTCGAACCACTCCTGTGCGGGCCCCGAAGGGTGCTGAAAAATAATCTGCAAATTGCAGCATCAGTGGCTCCCAAGAGCATGAGGCCTCCTTGATAGCTTCTCAAATGTATGTGTGGATCTCCCACCCCATCGTAATTCAGAACGTTTGGGGGTCGGCAGTCCTTTAATATTTCTGCATTCATAATCTCCCTGGTGAAGGGAGAAGTAATCTCAACCCGAGCTAGTGGGGTCTGTTGGGGGTGTGGTTAACCTGCTCCCTGAGTTCGGCCATTTGCCTCCTCATTTCGGCCATTTCCTCCTCTTGGGCCGTTCGGGGAGGTGGAGTCCTCAGGTCCATGAATCCCGGAGTTTGTTCTGGTGGAGGTGCTGTTGTTTCCCTCCTTCGGCGGATGAATCTTTCTCCATCCCTTTCCACATATTGAAAATGTTGTCCCACAGGGTCTATTATGGGAGTAGGCTCCCTGAAGTGAGCTCCGCCCCTAGGCCTGATCAGGGTTCGGTCCCCCGGGGTGTGCTGCCTGTGCCGGGGGGTGTGGGGGCTCTCCAATGGTTTCCTCGATATGCCTGGGAGTGGGCTGATGTGGTAGTGGTTTGAGTATCGTCCTCCCCCTCATCGAATGATGGCATAGAGCGGATGGGGGATAGTGAGTTGGAGGTGTCATCGGTGGAGGTAGCCCCACCCCTCTCCTGTTCGTCAGCCATGCGCTGCATGACGGCTGCCATTTCTTTCATTAGTTGAGGGTTTCTCCTGATATAATCTGGAATGACGTCCTCGAATTCTTGAGAGGCACTTCCGGTGGCGTGCCCCTGTGTAGACCAGTCCCCGGAGGATCCGTTGTCCCTCCGGCCTCTGGTAGCAGAGCTTAGTGTTGCTGAAGCGATTCTAACCATCTTGAAGAAGGTGGTGCTTAGGTCAAATAGTTTTGCTTGGGATTTTTGTTCAGTTTCCCACAGACGGCGCCAATGTTGAGGTTTAGTCCCGTAGATCTGAAAGCCCAACACACGCTTTGGATATTAAGGATGTTTATCTCGGTTAAAAGGTGTATCAAATATAAAACAGTGAATTAAGATTTAACTCAGAAGCTAACTTGTATTACGTAATTTTGCGATTACAAAGAAATTCCCCGAACGGTCTGTCGGTATGAGTTCAAATACAAGAACAAGAGAGATGATTCTATTGCTAAGCTCTGAGTCTCAAATTGCTAACCCTTTACAATGTATTCATTGCAAGTATTTATACTAAGAGGGGGTAGGTGGGATGGTGACGTGGCTGAACCCGGTTGGCTGCTGCCTTTGCCACCTTGCACCCATGCCTCTACTTGCTATTGTCATATTTTAGCATTAAATGCGGCTCCCACTTGCTGACTACCCGGTCGGGTAGCGCGTTCGGTGTGCGGGATCCCTTTGTGGATGTTTGGATGCCAATACTCTGTTGATTATCTCAATTGAATAAATCGACCTGAATGCTGTTCAGGTATCCCCCGTTCGGGACGTCTTGAACCTTTCTGATTGCGTTTGGGCTTCCTGTTTGCCCTGGGCCTTCTTTATGCTTTGGGTCGGGCGTATGGGGCTTGGGCCCAATACCCCAACAATCTTGCTCTCGCTCAAATTCCAATTTCTGAGGAGGACCTAGTTATTTATATTCTCAAAGGTCTAGGTCCGGAATATGGTGAAGTACGATCTGGTATACGTATCCGTGAGACGGCCCTACCTCTGGCCGAACTTCGCTCCATTCTATTGAAGCATGAACAAAAAATTATCTGAGGCAGCAGCAACCGAGCCCATCATCACCTACCCTGTCATGTGATCGTCCATTTGGACCCAGTGTTAGCTGGTTTGGAGTCCCCCCTACACCCTTTCCATATCGAGTTTTTTCGGACGCTCCTAACAGCCCCCACGCAGCTTGAACCGACGACGTACAAGTTTGTTGCTGGTTTCATAACCCGTTGTCATAGCGTAGGGGTCGTCCCCACAATGGATTTGTTCCTTCATTTTTCTGTGTTTCCCCGTTCAGCTGTACGGGTTACCTTGGTCTAACCGCCCGTCCTTGGCGAGTTCTTTTCACCAATAATGGTTCCAATCTGGACGGGTGGGAGAGGAAATTCTTTTTCGTTGAAGTGGGTTCCCCGATGCCCTTTTCCGATCGATGGAACCCCTTCCCGGTCAAGTTCGATCCTCCGACTTTGACTGATGAGGAGATAGAGTATGCCATTTGTATTGCTTACCTTGGTACCCAAAACCTCCGCATGCTCGTGGTGTCCTCCCTCATGGTTAAGGCCGGGATAGGTATGCCCATTCACAACTCGGGGTTTTAGGCCTTGCATGTTCCATGATTCTAACTGTGTTTTCTCCTTGCAGGCGTTAATGCTAGTCCTCCCGCCATGGGTCATACAAACAACACTCCTCTGATCCCCAGTCGGCATGACAAGGAGAAAGGAAAGACGGTCGTCGAGGCCGGCTGTCTGGCGATATGGTCCCGGTCACAAGCCAAACTCGGAAGCCGAGCATCCCCACAAGAGGTTGCGTGATGACGATGCCTCTAAAGTTGTGGTCCTGGTGGACTTGTCAGACGAAGAGACGACCATCCCTTCTGATTGCAACGCCGCTAATCCCTTCCATTGTATAGAGAATGTCACCATTTTTCAAAATTTTTTGCTAATTGAAAAAGAAAAGGTTGAAAAATCAGATCTTGAAAAAGGTTGTGGATGGCCGCCTAGGGTTTCCCCTAGGGTCGGCTCTTCAAAAGTTCGCATGGAAGTAATATTCTTAGGGGGTGTTTGCAATTGCTTTTACTTTTAAAAAATCACTTTTTAAATTGATTTTGGAAAGAGTATTTAATAGTAAAAATTGATAGTGTTCGAGAAAAAATTGATTTTGAAAATTAAAAATTGATAGTGTTTGGTATAGTAGATGCTTTTGTGTAATAGAAAAAGTAAAAAACAGATTTCTGGTTTTAGATTTTAAGTATTTAATTTAAGTAGAAGTTGTCACTTTAAAAAGACTTTTTAAAAATTTTTAAAGTCAAAAGCTCAAAATCACTTAATTTTAATTTTTTGCAAAAACACCCTTATACTCTGTATTTTAAATTTAATTAAGTAGTAGCACTATTTTTTTGTTTAAAGCGGGGCATTTCCCCCCCATGCCCCTAGCTCCTGCGCACTGTTCCCAAATTGTGGTTGTGTGACAACCAACAAGTGCTTTAATGGTGCTACACTTCTGTGTTGAAGGCGTTTTGCACCGTTTGGTGATGGACGGAGTTAGGTGAATTTTGTGCCCTCTACTACCTCTCCTTTTACTTCCTGCTGCTATAAATTCCACTCACCCCTCACCACTTCAACCCATCTCTCAACAAAACCTTCCACCCCTAAATTTTATAATATAGCACTTCCACCCCCAAAATGAAGCTCCCCTGTTTTTTCATCCTTCTACTTTTGCCCCTCCTCTCTTTCGCCTTCACAGCACTCGCCGAGTCTAGCAACAACCCCGTCTCCGACGGTGCGTCGCCGTCGCCGGTCCTCGATGCCGATGGCGGAGCCTTGCAAGCAGGCGTCAGCTATTTTGTCCTGCCAGTCACCCACGGAAGCGGCGGCGGTCTCACTCCGGTCACCTCCGGTCCGGGTGGCATCATCCAAGAAGCCAGCGAGATGCAGACCGGGTTTCCGGTGGCGTTCTCACCGGTCGACAGCCGGACCGGTTCGGTGCTGCTGTCAACCGACGTCAACGTGAAGTTCTCCGCCCCAACGGTCCGTGCCAACGAGACGGGGTGGATGGTCGGGAAGTACGACGAACTGCTGAAGCAGTTTTTCATTGTCACCGGCGGCGAGGAAGGGAAAACTGGACCGGAGACCGTCGCGAACCGGTTCAAGATCGAGAAGCACGGGTCGGATTATAAGTTCGTGTTCTGCCCGAGCCAGGTTCTGTGCCAAAACGTTGGGGTCTTTGTCGGACCGGAGGGTGACCGGTTCTTGGCCCTGACCGATGCTCCGTTGGTGGTTATGTTCAAGAATAGCAGCTTCCCTCCGTTCATTCCGGCTCCGGAGTTTCCGGCTCCTCTTCCACCGGCTCCGGTCGTTCCGACTCCGTTTCCGCCGGCTCCGGTCCTTCCCACTCCGTCTCCACCGGCGCTAGTTCCTCCGCCGCCTCCGGCCCCGGATGCTTCATCGGCTATTTCTCACGCCAAGTCGATTCTCTGTGTCTCCTTGTCATTTGCGGTCTTGTCGTGCTTTTTCTAGATTCGTCAAGTTGACTACTGCATAAGTACTGTTTATTTTGTGTTTTTTTATATATATTCCTAAGGTTTATGCTTAGAATTATGCCTTTTATGTTCATGTCATTTTAACCTGTGGTCGAATTGTTCGTTCATAGACAATTCGTGTGGACAATTAGTGTGACTTATAAAATGACGTGTACAAAAAACGTGTATTAATAGCGTTGCAAACGTTGGTCAAGTGCTGGGGTGTGGTGTAACCCTGGCCTGACGTGTTAAGAATAATGCAAACGTTTTAGGGGCTTTGCATTGGAATAGTTCTGTTGCGTTTCACCGTTTGTCATGTTTGTGCGGTTGTGCCAAACTGATTTTGAACTCATGTAGTCATGTGTGGTAATTTAAAAATTATAATATTGTTTAAACTTTAATGTGTATTATTATGAAGATACCTAATGGTTGATTATGTTTAGTAGTATTGTTCATTGAAAGAGTTTTTGATAGAAAAATGCAGTACTTGTGACTGTATGAGATAGGGAAATGCACGGTTCAGGTGTAACTTAATTAATTGTCATCAAGTTCCTTTTTTTGCTGAAACAATGACATGTAAGGATGCTGTATCTTGATTGATAAACAGAGGTGATGTGAAGTGTGAACGTGATGATTCAAACAAATTGTCAAACAACAGTATACCATTTGTGTACTCCCTATTTTTGGTGGTTTACAAAGATCATTCATAGACTAATTACGTTGCGGATTATTTATTATGAATTGTCTTTGTAAACCACTCAAAACAGAGTGTACAAACGGTGTACAAATAGAAATTCCTCAAACTATTCAACCTTCTTACCTCCTAAGTGTTTGGCACAATTCTTATTAGAAAACAAAGAATTCAATTTTGTTGCTAACATAATCTTATACAGTATTTTAGATTCTGTTAGGCCTTGAACCAAGAGCGAGGCAGATGAATTTGGGGTTGACAATGAAAAGGCCGACGAATTTGGGTACGCCATAGGGCCAAGAAAGCATGAGGGGCGACTTTGGTGCAAATTTGGGCAAAAATCTGAAAGATATCCTATATGTCAAAGTGTCAAATGATATATTGATTTATACGTAGTAGTTTTTATATTGAGTTTTGTTAAATAAATTTGGTATTTTTTTTAATTGTTGATTGCATTAGGAGTTAATCTCTCTATTCAAGGCGTACGTTTCTTTTTCTCTCTACGGTTGCCGCAAGGCAACGTCTAGCTTGAATTGTCGGGCGGTGATCAATTTGATCACGGCGCCGGTGTTCATTTTGATCTGTTTTTCCCGGTCTGGAAGGAGCAGTGTTTCGAGCTCGTTTGCAGTCCTATCATGGTTGTTGAAGAAGCCGAAGTTGCAATTTGCTTAAGTATGATTTCAAGCCGGAGTATGATTTCGATTATGCAGCAAGGATGTCAAAAGTGGATATCGTCATTCAATACAAAAGCATGACTATAGAGGCGGATGAGCGGTGGGCGCGTCCCCTTCCTGAACCGCCGCCATGGAGTGCAAACAAGACTAGGGGTTGGAAGAAGATGGATGAACTCTGTTTTAATTCCGTTTTATTCTGTTTGTGTTTTTCTTTCGAATTGCATGTTGTTTTGAACGTGTTTTTATTTCCTAGCAGAAAGATTCTAGATTTTAAGTTGGGTGATGAAAAGTCTGGTTTGCTAGTCATTGGTTCAGTTAAACTCATTACAGGATCAACGAATATTATTGCTTCTACAGAGGTGATACATTCTAAGTCTGATGTGAGGGCGAACGGCAGAAATAAGGCTTTTTATCACTTTGTTTACTTCTTTTTCTTTGATTGTATTATCAGCCACGTAATAAACGTTATTTTGATTTAATATATTCGTTGAATTTGATGATAAAAAAAAATTGTTGATTGCATTAGGCTTTATGACTTTATGAGTTCATGATGAGACTTTTTGAGTGTTTTTTATGTCGTAGTTAATACTCCGTATAAGATTAGATTTGATGAGATTTTGTAGGCAGTGTTTCTAATTCAGTCGCTTTTCTATCTAATGAGTTCGAGTTGCTTTTTCATGGCCGACAAAGCCAAGTAGTTTTCCCTAGACATTATTTTACAAGTTTTTTTTAACTGTTTTGCAAGTTTTTAATATCTTAATATAGAAATTTTACCCAAAAAACATGTATTCTATATTATACATAATTTTTTTTATATATAAATTAACATTTACCCAATACAATTAGTCATATTTTATTAATTTCACCATATTTAATCGACACCTCTGTTTAGCACTCAGAGGCCGTTTGGAAGAGCAAAAAAAGGCTGACCAGGCTTAAAATCCATGAAAATAGCCAAAACACCTCTTCTATGGGCTGCTTTGGCCGATTCTGATTATCAGCCAAAAAAGTTGCTTCATGGTTACTTTTTGAGTTGTTTTCTATTTTTGTTTGATTAAGATGTTAAAAGACAACTATAACCAGCCTTTTTTCCTAATCGTAGAAGTCATGCTCTGCGGACTTCTCTGCTTCATATTGGTTGTGCCGTTCTGGCCTTCAGGGTATGAAAAAAAAATAGTTCTCTAGGAAATATGAAATCCACCACAGTGCTTTTACCATTATATTAAGTTACGTGATTGGAGCTTTTGTGTTGATGTTTTGATATGTATTGTTGCTATTTAAAGTGTAGTATTTTAGTGTAAAAAGATAATACCCTTTATGGTAATTATACATTCAATCAGCCAATTCAGCCAATATATTACCAAACACTTTCACTTCAGGATTTTAGTCTTTTCAGTCTTATCAGCCATTGCAGCCATTACCAAACAGGCCCTTAGAGTTGTAATATTCAAACCGGCTGTATTTGCTGATTTTGATGAATTTTATGAAGTTTTTGTTGAAGTAGCTGAATTAATCGATTCTGATGATTTATAAAAAAATATATTTAAAACATATTTTGTTATTAAAACAAAGAAAAAATTATATGAAAAAGGTTAAAATTAGCCTTTACAGTAACTTCAGCTAATACAACCGGAAAAATAACTTCAACCTTACATTTTTATTATTATTAAATAATTCAAGCCGTGAAATCAAAGTTACGTGTTTGGTGAAAAAGTTTCATATTTTGTCATTTCTTTAGCTTTCTACCTTCATTAGAGTTGGCTGATAAGTCTGATAAACCGAAAACATGGTCACCAAAACGGGATCTTAGTGTTACACCGTTAGTGGTCTAAAAATGTTTTTACTTTAGCTTATTTCAGTGTTATAACACACCAGAACAAACAGACTAGCTTAAACATATCAGATAAGATTAAAATCCAACAATTACGGAGTATAAAATAAACAAAAACCAAACATGTACCGAGTATCAAACTATATCAATTTAGAAGTAGGTTTAAATATATTTTTGGTCCCTGCAAATATAGTACATTTTGTTTTACATCCCTGCAAAATTATTTTTTTGTTTTTCATCCCTGCAATTTATGTAGGTTTTCATTTTAGTCTATCACTGATGATAACAACCTCTGTTTCACCTCAAAATAACCCTTATTAATAGATTTCCTCTAATCCTTTGTCATGTTATTCAAAAAGTATATAATTTTATTTTTTAGAAGGCGTTTCATATATATTTTTAAAATGTTAATACTTAGTTTTTTATTGTTTTAACTATCATATTAACCTCAAAAAATTATAAAAGGATAAATTTAAATATTTCTAGTAGATTTATGTAACTGACAATAACATTTTTTTGTAAGTAGAGTAGTTTCGGAATTAGATATGGACTAAAAGCAAAATAGAGCATTTTGCAAGGATGAAAAACAAGAAAAATATTTTGCAGGGATCTAAAACAAATTGCGTCATATTTGTAGGGACTAAAAACATACTCCGTATTTAAGCCTTTAGAGTAAACCAAATAAAAAAGATTAGACCAGATAAAAAATTCTAAATTATCCTAACTACTCCATTTACGCTTGAGGACGATTGGTATCTATAGATAATACATTTCAAAGATACAATTATGGAAAGTTTTTGCCATGTGTCATCTTCTAAGCAAACATTCATTATAATATTTTAGATTTTCTTTCTAATTTAGTAAATTAACTATAAGCATGTTACGTTAATTTAGATTAGTGTTTAAGATAGATACCAACTCATGTAACGTGAATTTAGAAAACTTCCTAAAGCTATGTTGTTCAAAAAATAAAATCCCACATTTATTTTAAAGTGCTATAACTTTTTTATTTGCACTATGATGATTACAAAAAATATATCATAATTTATAACTTTTTATTATCTTTCATATGAGACCAATATTAAATATATAAAAATAAAAAAATAATTTAGCACTTAATACATATCTGTTTTTAAAGTGTTATATACGGAGTTTTTTTATTTGTACTATGATTGTTACAAAAAATCTATATCTATATCTATAAATAATACTCCGTACATTTGAAAGATACAATTATGGAAAGTTTTGTCATGCGTCATCTCCTAAACATACCTTTAATATTCTAAATTAGAAATTAGAATTGTTATGAGTTTGTTATTACGTTAGGAGTATACGAAGTATTCTAGATTTTTTTTATCATATGAAGTAGAGTTAAATATCAAAATAGGACTAAAAGTCATTCACTTTGCACAAATAGGACCAAAAAATAAACTATGTTTCCATAGGACTAATTATGTTTGTCTTGGACAAATATACCCTTATACCTATTGGAATGTTTTAATTCATAATAAAATAATAAAAAATAATAAAAATTCGTAAAATATACCAAAAAATTAATAAAAATAATCTGAATAATAATAAATTTAAAAAAAAATTAAAAAAAATAAAAAAATAAAAAAAATAAAAAAAAATCAAAAAATTATTTTTTTTGTCACCGCCGCCTATACCGCCCCAGCACCACCACCTCTAGTCATTTGGGGAAAAAATGCCAAATTTATTATGAATTCCATATTTTTGGCATAATTCAGAATGATTTAAGATGGAAGAAAAAAAATGTTGGCATTCTCAAAGAGAAATATGCCATATTTTTGGCATTTTCCGAAAAAAATGGAAGTTTGTAGGAAATATGACATTTTTTTTAACGGCCGGAGGTGGTGGTGCAGGGAGGCGGTACCACCACCTCCTGTCACCGAGGTAAAAAAATGCCAAAAAAATTTTGAATGCCATATTTTTGGCAAAAGTCAAAAGGATTCAAGTTGGCAGAATGAAAATGTTGGCATTCTCATAGAGAAATATGCCATTTTTGTGGAATTTTAAAAAAAAGTGGCATTTTTTACACCGATCGGAGGTGGTGGTTCAGGGAGGTAGTACAGGCGGTGGGAAACGTATCCATATTTTTTTTAATTTTTTTTATGGAGTTTTCTATTTTTTATTAATTTTTAAAAAAAATAAAAATAAAAAAAAATTCTTATTTTTTATTTTATAAAAAATTTATTAATTTTTTTATTATTTTTCTACGAATTATTGAAATT